TATTTAATAATAACAATGTATTTAATAATGACTTTAAAGATTGTCAAAAAATTATATAAAATAGTGTGCAAATACTGATAACAGTGCAAATGTTTGCAATATAAAAAATAAATGAAAAATGTAAACATCTATGTTTAGTGAACTTTGCAGTGCTGCTCTGTGGCGCAGCTACGACACTAGCAAAGTTTACACACTAAGTCTACTTGATCCACGTCTGACTCCACAAACCCATAATGTTTCCACACCACTGAAGTTTTTTTTACCTCTCTTTTCAACCAACGGCAGTCACTCTCCTCTCCAAATAACTTCTGCTTAGCTTTCCGAGCTTCCCTCGGGTCCTCTTAATTGTTGTGACACGTGTTCGAAATGCAGAGAGGTGCGCTCGATTTGCCACACGGAGCAGCGCGAGAGTAAAGCACGAGGGAGGGGCTAATAATCGGCTCAGTCATTTTAATGATCGTTGAAAGCCCAGATCGTAATCGTGATTAAAATTCGATTAATTGAGCAGCCCTACTTTTTATTGTCCAAATTTGCATAAAGGTCTGCAATCAAAGCAATCATTCATTCATATATATTATATATACTATATATATAATATATATATATAATATATATATATATATATACTATTATTATATATTAATATATATATATATATATATATATATATAATCATAATATATATATAATAATATGTTTTATTATTTATTTTATAATTATATATATATAATATATATTTATATAAAAAAATATAATATTAGAATAAGTGCTAGAGGCTGGTTAACATACCAGAGTAAGAAAATTGAGATTTCAGCTTCTTTAAAAAAAGGACTTCGAAGTTGCTGAGTCTTACAAAATATAACTTTATAATATGAATAGCCAGTTGTTTGGACAGAAACAAGAGCGCAATGCATCCCCAAGGACAAGGATTGAGATTTTGAAAAACAAAGACAATGTGGCTGTGTTAAGAGCAGCCAGAGCTGGAAAAACAAATTCTCTGCAGGGGTCAACCAGCATATTTCTACCTCATCATGGTGGCAGGAGTGCACAAAAAGCACAAATCTCAGATGGAAGCTCAATGTCATGCAGCATTCTCATCCCTACTACACTACTAAAGACTCACAAAGACAGAGCACAGATTTTTGGTATACCAAAAAGAAGCAAAAGCCTGCATTCATGAGACTGCTACCCTTTCACAAGGAAGCTAATAATGGATGATACGGGGATCTGAAGACTGTGTCTTGAAACTTGTTTTAATATTAATTAAGTTGGTTTCCAATTGTCATAGTTTGTTACATCATAACGTTTACTCTAACTCAAGTTATTAATGATGAGTGACTACTAAACAGGAACTTAGATTTTTTTGACATAGAAGGAATAAATTCAATACATTTTCCTTTTGCCTTTGGGAACTGGATTTCGTGGAGAGTTAACAAAAAGAGTCAGCTAGATTTCGAGCTCAATGGCTTGATGGACACGTTAACTAGTAAATGATTCATGAACTTCTTCACAAATAAAATTTTTATCATTAGAGAAAAAATTACCATAATCATCCCACAGATGTAATATTATCTACAGCTACTCTTAGTACCATTGATGTTAAGTTAGACTCTTTTTCTCCAATTGATCTTTCTGAGTTAACTTCAATAATTACTTCCTCCAAACCATCAACGTGTCTTTTAGACCCCATTCCTACAAAACTGCTCAAAGAAGTCCTGCCATTAATTAATTCTTCGATCTTAAATATGATCAACCTATCTCTAATAATCGGCTATGTACCACAGGCCTTCAAGCTGGCTGTAGTTAAACCTTTACTCAAAAAGCCATCTCTAGACCCAGCAGTCTTAGCTAATTATAGGCCAATCTCCAACCTTCCTTTCATATCAAACAATCCTTGAAAGAGTAGTTGTCAAACAGCTAACAGATCATCTGCAGAGGAATGGTTTATTTGAAGAGTTTCAGTCAGGTTTCAGAGCTCAGTCACAGCACAGAAACAGCTTTAGTGAAGGTTACAAATGATCTTCTTATGGCCTCTGACAGTGGACTCATCTCTGTGCTTGTCCTGCTAGACCTCAGTGCAGCGTTCGATACTGTCGACCATAATATCCTATTAGAGCGATTAGAACATGCTGTAGGTATTACAGGTACTGCAGCTGCAGTGGTTTGTATCATATCTATCTAATAGACTCCAGTTTGTGCATGTAAATGGAGAGTCCTCTTCACACACTGAGGTTAATTATGGAGTTCCACAGGGTTCAGTGCTAGGACCAATTCTGTTTACATTATACATGCTTCCCTTAGGCAGCTATCATTAGAAGACATAGCATACATTTTCACTGCTATGCTGATGACACCCAGCTCTATCTGTCCATGAAGCCAGATGACACACACCAATTAGTTAAACTGCAGGAATGTCTTAAAGACATAAAGACCTGGATGGCCGCTAACTTTCTGCTTCTTAATTCAGATAAAACTGAGGTTATTGTACTCGGCCCTGAAAATCTTAGAAATATGGTATCTAACCAGATTCTTACTCTGGATGGCATTACCTTGGCCTCCAGTAACGCGGTGAGGAACCTTGGAGTCATTTTTGACCAGGACATGTCCTTCAACGCACATATTAAACAAATATGTAAGACTGCTTTCTTCCATTTGCGCAACATCTCTAAAATTAGAAATATCCTGTCTCAGAGTGACGCTGAAAAACTAGTTCATGCATTTATTACTTCCAGGCTGGACTACTGTAATTCATTATTATCAGGATGTCCAAAAAACTCCACTGAAAAGCCTTCAGCTAATCCAAAATGCTGCAGCAAGAGTCCTGACAGGGACTAGAAAGAGAGAGCATATTTCTCCTGTTTTGGCTTCCCTTCATTGGCTTCCTGTTAAATCCAGAATTGAATTCAAAATCCTGCTCCTCACATACAAGGTCTTAAATAATCAGGCCCCATCTTATCTTAAACGTGTATATACACTCAAAAATAAAATTTACAGTGTGCAACCTGGATATCATGTTAATGAGAAATGGAAGGACAACCTAATATATTTCCTCTATATACAGCTGTTGCTGGCTCAGAGGCATAAAAATATAGATATAAAATGGTTTCATATTGATGTATTTTAGCTTGCTAGCATTTGTAGAAAAAAGCAGAAAAAAAGAAAACATTGGGGCTAATGGGAATGTCATTCAGACATCTAATGCCTGTATAAAATTTCAAGGCAATTCATCTGACAGCTGTTAAGATATTTCAGTCAGGGAAAAAGCATCAAGCATTAGCAATAACAAAACCATCAGCACTTTTCTTTCTATCATAACTGAAAAAGCCACAGCGAGACAGAGCTGGTACAAATATCTAAAAGATAAATTGATAACCTTTTAAAGCGGGATAAAAATATATATGTACTCTACTAATTTTTAAGTAAGTCTGAAACACATCCATTATTCCACAAATTCTGAACCGTCTTTTCTTTTCTTTTTTTTTTTTAAACTGTTGAGTCATCTTTTTATTACTCTTTAATCTCTTCAGTCTTTATCTACCAAAGGATCTCACCACCACCATCCTTGAAACAAACTACAGAAGGGACTTTGTTCAGTCCTTGGAGTGGGTGCACAAACAAATCTGACATCTAACCAGGCTAAACTCTTCAGGGAAACTTGGTGGCAGCCGCTTGCCATTACTCTCATGATTGGATCAATATTAATACAGCGAGTGAGTCAGAGACCTTTTTTAAAGGTGTGGAGAATGGGAGAAATAGTAAAGCAAGTCCTTCCCATTATTAGTTGTTTTTAGTGATAATTAAATGCGTCACCTTAAGAGAGCATTTAGTAACTAAATCCTCCTCCTGAATAATTGACTACATCTCCAGATACAAAAGCAACAGCTCTCCACCCATAACAGACATTAAAGCTAAAAGCATTAGATGCCTCCAGAGAGCTACTCCCACTACCAGTGCAGGGAGAAACACACAGAGAACAAAGTGTTTCCAATGTCAAACACGAAACACTCATGTTCTGTGCTGTCAGCTGTGGCTGACTGATAATACACTCAGTGCTGCTGATTTCCATATATGCACGGATATTTCATATTTGTACATTTTAACTACGAAATCAGAAAATTAAAGAACAGCGCCTGGCAGATAGCTGATGTAAAGCACTTTTGTAGTTCTATAAAGAGTTTTCCCTAAATATTTCTATATTGTTTCTATAAAATATGGACAATGTCATACACTGGTTCCATTGTGGACATTTGTCAGTCGCAGTGTAATAACCCTCTAAACCATACACTGCTTTGTCTATTTACTTGAAACTGGACCATAAATTATCATCATGCTATACTGATTAGGACCTGAATCTAGCAACTAAGACAACAAACATAAATCAAGTGATCACTATGGCCACTTTCTCAAATGTCTACACGTGTATTTATTTATCTGTTTTTGGCAATTTTAAGAGTTGCCCCCATTACCATATGGTTAGGGTGGAAGGTTTACAGCATTTCTAGAGCTTACTGTATATGAATCCTTCATATACAAGTATTTGGTCTTGTGCACTTCTTGTTGGTTATGCTCTGGGTTTCTGTGGGTAGGTTCATCTTCTGAATGCCTCCAGGATAAAATGAGGCAACTTTCTCCCTCTTCTACACAAGATGTTTGTTTCTGTGTTTCATGGTATTGCAAGCTGGATTTAAAATGTAAAAAACAGCTTGAAAACTTCACAGATGGCTTAAACTATAACTTGATGAACCTTATAATGTTGAATTTTATTCCAGCTTTAAAGATAGGGTGATGTCTTCTCCACTAACCTCAAAGTTTTAAATTAAAACCCCAGTTTCATTTTATTCATTCATTTTTCTTTTGCGTGTCTATAGGCACTCCAGTGTTTACACTGGACATTATTTACTCAATTTACTGCTGACTTGACTTGAATCCAGAAATCTGTATTTTGACTAGTGAATACATCGTAGCATGTTTAAATTCTACTTTTCATATCTTCTTTTCCAGCTGCTACGCTGTAAAGCACAACTCCATTTTTAACTGAAGGCATTTCTTTCCCATTGAAAAGCAGATTTAGCCAACACCCTCCTTGGTTTTTTGCCAAACTGGTGACAGGTTCTGTCTTGATTTAGGTATGTGAAAGACAATGGGAGATTAATAAAGATACAGTCAATGATCTCTAGGACAAATCACCCTCCCATGTCATCCTTGTTTCCTCAGCCTTGTCCTTGTGCCAAGGCCTCTTTATGATCTACCAGCTGACTGAGAGTAAGGAAAGTGCTGAGTATCCCACTAAAGCTCTCACACACCTTAAGCTGAATTAATCTTATGTTAACATTCAGCTGACGATCTGTCTGTTTGTGTGCATACAGTAAAACACTGTCACGCCAGACACAGCAACAACTTTTGCGTTATGACTACACTCATGCAGCATTGTGTGCATCTTCAGCTGTTTGTCAGTTTGAAGCCACATTAAAGCTTGCCAGTAGACACACCCACAACTTGTTCAGTGCGTCTGTGCCTTCTTTTATGCCTCTTGTATAACATTACAATCCCATAAAACTGACAACCACCACCACACTCAACGTGTTTCATTATGTGCCAGCAGGGCAATATACTGTACCGAAGGGAACTGTTGTTTTCCAGAAACAAAGACGTTAATGAGCTATAATGCACTTCATGTTCCTGAGGAATAGCAAAAAAAAAAAGAACTTTAATATGGGACCACAGTAACAGCACCTCTGCAGAGGTCAGTGCCTCACTCTGGTGTGTTGAGAAACAATAATGTACGAAGGCTTACCTTGTGTGACACGTGAGATCCCACGTGGAGAATTCATGGTCATCGAGGTTAGTGACTACCTTGGCTGCCCTTGGCCAGACGGCGTGACGTTTGATAGGAACCAGCTCTTGACCGATCTCCCGTGTGGGGTCACGACTCCAGCAGGCACCCATCCTTCGACAGCAAAACACTTCTTTGTTTAATGACTAGGTGGTTCAACTCTTACTGGTATCTCCTACGGGTTCCTGATTTGCTTCCCACCATGCCAGCTGTAAGCATCTTACTCCTATTGTCCTGTCCAGTGTCACCAGTCCTCTCTCTGTCCACTCCCCATTTCTGACCACCCTAGTACGCGTCAGATGATTTCTCTCTCCAGGCTACATTGCAAATGTTTTGGTGGCCTGCCCCAGGCAACTTTGCCCTCCTCCTTATTCTGACAGAAGTGTTACTGTCTCCCACAGCTAGCCAGACTTTAAGGGCCACAACATTGTATCAAGCATCTTGTTGTTACTCTCTCTCACTGTTTCCATCTGAGGCCTTCAATCCCTCCTTTGTGTCTGTCCTCGTTTGCTCAGTGAAGAACACAGATGGGCGCCCCACACTTTCCAGTCCCGAGCTTTGCTTTTTCTTCATAGACAACAGTCATGTAGAAAAGAGTGAGACAAGTCAGTCCTACGCTGCAGCGATGTGTGGGCTTCTCATGCGGAGAAATTCAACAGTTGCAATAAGATTTGGCTCCATGTTTCCATTTGTAGGCTCTACATTTCATGCATTTTTTTTCCCCATGTCTGAAGTTTATTATAGCACAATCTTCTGTAGACCTTTAGAGAAAATAAAAACAGACTCTTTCTAGTCTGTGTTGAGTACAAGGTATTAGAATTCTGCCTTTTTTTTTAAAAAAAAACAACAACACATCTTTCTTGTCCTTTATTGGCCACTTTCAGACTCTAAAAGCTGAGGATCTTTTGCCGTTTCTTTTTATGGACAATAGATCTGCTTTGCTATGCCATTGAGTGCCAAAATTTTAGCTCCCAATGTATTTATATATATTGCTACATATTTGTAGCAATTCATCAAACAGCTGTTAAACAACCACAAAATACTCTTTGTGCAGTCAATTCCCCTCTCTTCCACAACTGTCTGTCCTTCAAACTCATCCTCCCTCCTACAAACACCCCAACAACATCCTTTTTAGTGTTGTAACAAAAAATACCTTTCCTAGTTAACTGGGTTTATTTACTCAAAGATAATGGACATTATTGTTTATTAAATTATGACAAAAAAATAAATAAAATATTTCTATCAAATACAGCAACAATGCCTTTTACTTGGATCACTGCCGTGCAAATCAATACACATGCGAGTAAATAAGGGAAGTTACTCGCATGTGTAAGAGAAGCAAATACAGTCAAGACATAAAAATTATTGTTGCTTTTTGGTTTCCTCACCTAGAATCACCTGCCTAAGAGAGATCATGTTGACTTGTTGTTCACTGCCATGACTGCGTTATCTATCGTTCGTCATAGTGTGGCTTGCTAGTGTTCCACACCTGCTATTTTCAGGAGCAGGCAAAACAGAAAAATTAAATGGGGGGGGGGGGAATCAAAGGATGCAGAAAAAAAATACAAGGGAAAAGAAGGGAAAAATCAATGTTACGCAAAGCCAAGGTGACTTCAATTTATGAAGATCCTGGGATTAGGAGAGGTTCCAACAATCATTCAAGGCCACAGGCCCAAGAACACTTCACTGATGTAAACAATAATTAGCACATCTTAAAATTCAGGTAGTGTAAAATCAAAGGATTTATTTCATGAAGTCTACTATTGGCAAAGCAGCTCTGTAACAGAAAAAGCCGAGGCTGATGTACTACACAGCCAAAGGAAAGTAACCAAATCAAAGACCCTGTCTTTTTAAGTTGCTTTTTAAAATAACGCAACCTGATACAAAGCAAACCATATACTTTGTATAGAAGATGGGTGTAGCCTCCAGACATGAAAAATTATGCCCTGATGCTGCATTCTTCTTAGAGTCTGCAAAGTATAACAGCAAAAAGATTGTGTATAGAAAATTATCAATACACAAACTACCATATGACCTCAATTTATAGTTTTATACTGACTGCTAAAATACTGACTTTAGCATAACTTGTTGTTCATTCTATAAATTACAGTCTCATTTAGACAAAGCATAGTATGTTTAAGGGTATTGGTATTGAATGGTTGATTTCATAGACTGAGCCACCCCTCGAACCAAGATCATGATGGCATGTTTGTTGTGGTATTTCCCCTCTTTGTTTTGATCACTGTTGGAGTTGTTACTTTAAAACATCATTATTACAGATATTACACAGAACACCTTTCTTAAAAGTAATGCAGTACATTTACTTCATTTCGAGTAATGAAGTAATGTAAAGGAAAAAGGGTTCTTGGCTAGCTTAGCGTTAGCATGCTGCCTGTACAGATGCTTGCAAAGAACCGAAGCTGTGTTACCAGAATAATGCAGTCGTTTGTTTTCTGGATGCAATTTGCACTTTACCATTTATCTCATCCTTTTATGCAATAAAAATAAACGTCCATATCCATGCCACAGACTCCGTCGCCATTTCCCTCTTCTGACACGTCAACTGAAATTAGCTGACTGCAGCGCAAACGCAAGAAGCTGGATCGATGCGCAGGCAGACTAACAATTCAAACAAACTAGACTACCAGACACCAGTTTTCTACAAGAACCGGTTCTGGAGTCCCATCCCTACTGTTAACAGTGTTAAAGTTTATTTTCCAAGCTCAAATAAAAATTTAGTTTGACTGTGCAAAAGGGGAAGCAGCAAGAGGTTAATGTTCTCTGATATGAAAAATAGCTGTTGAGTACAGTGGCGGGACATGACAGACATAACTGCGCTCTCATCTTTCAACATGAAGGAAATCAGATGTGGCTGACATTTCAATAGATGGTATGTGAGTTTATGAATGTTTAAATGGTTCTTTTTTTGTATTTCCTTTTCATAATAGAAAAAAAAAACTCATTTTGAACTTTGTACCCCTACACACTGATTAAGACAAATGAAAAAGGCACCAGTCAAAAGTCAAGTGTGTTCAGAACATTCTGGACTTTGTAAATGATCACAACAGGACACTTTGTCATTAAGAGTTCAGAAAAGATCTGCAATTACCAAAAGTATTATAATGTGTAGTCATGTTTTGGATCGCAATCCCTTTTAAAATGGAGGACCATTTGGAGCAGTCATTTTAAAATTGTTCACATGCACATAATCATTTTATGGCTGTAAGCCTCTTAATCATTTTAATAACTTTTTGGGTGCCTGTGGCTATTTATCCAATACCAGACCCCTTTCTCTGTTTGTCAGCATATGTATGAACTGAAAAGCACACAAAAAGCTGCACAGAAATTTTATGTGCAACTTGTCATCCTGCTTTGTTTTTACATCTTATCCATCATATTCCCATTAAATGTCACAATAAAGCACATATCAGCCTGCCAGATCAGTGCTGTACTCAGATTCTCTGTAAGAGTCTGTGGATTAATACCACAGCCTCAGGGCAAGGTTAAATATTCAAGAGATCCATTTTCAGACCAACTCCAAAGATGGTGTTAAACACACACACACACACACACACACACACACACAC